ATAAGAATGAATATGTTGGGTTATGGTTTAAGTGCTATTGAGTTGCTTCTAACTCATAACAACTGTGCATAGGCTTTTCGAGATTCGGCTGGTGTGTTTGAACCACCTACCTTGCTGTTAGCAGCCCAGTGCCTATCCTTCAGTGCTATACCAGGATTCTTTTGTTACCATCAAATACATTCTGACCCATGGCAATCCCATTTGTCGCAGAGTTGAACTGCTCTTTCGGATTGGATTTTCAAGGTTATGACCTTTTTATAGCAGATACCTGATATCCAGGCCTGTTCGCCCTCAACCATTGTTCTACCCTGGGGTAACCTAACAATAAAATAATAGAAAAGATACAAAGCCACTGGTCTTCATAGAGTTATAACGTTGCAGTACAAGGTCACAATATAAGTAAATAAAACAGGCTACAGATTGAGGAAAATACTATGAAAAACAATCAGAATAACTAATTATCAGTTTATGAGTGGGAAAGAAATTGGGAACAGCCATCTTTAGAAAGAATGTCAGGAAAAGCCTGCCATTTCTAGATCAGAAAAGAAATTTGCAGCCCATGGGAAAAGGTGGGGAAATTTACTAAGGGATTAACATAATCAGAGACGTTGTTACACGTGGTCGAGTGGGTTCCAACTCATAGAGACCCTATATAGGGTTTCCAAGGAGTGGCTGGTGAGTGTGGCCTAGCGATCACACGGACCTTATGGTCAAGTACTTAGCCTACAGTGCTAGACCAGGACTCCTGAGGAGAAAAGAAGCCAATTTACTGAATAATACAGCACAGTGGTTACGAATCGGGCTGTGAACTTTAAGGTCAGCAGTTCGAAACTACCAGCTGTTCCATGGGAGAAAGATAAGGCCTTCTGCTCCCGTCAAGATTTACAGCCGCGGAAACCCTGTACAGGGTCGCTATGAGTCGGAACCGACTCCAAGGCACATAACAACAACTTGGTAATTGCCATTGAGTGAAATCCAGCTTGACCCCAGTCTTGCAGAGCAGAATTGCTCCAAAGGGTTTTCAAGGCTGGAATCTTTCACAAGCTGATCTCCAAGCTAGTCTTCTGAGGCATCACTGGATGGGGTTGAACCTCTAATCTTTAATACTAGTAGTCTAGCTCTCAACGGTTAGCACCATGCGGCAAAGGCCATAAAATGTCCTACAAGGAAGTTGTGGGTGACTGAATTTTATGGGCCCGGGAGCCATCTTAATTCCATTCCAAGACCAAGGGAAACCATTACAGTGTTTTAAACAAGCAATAGCAACCGCTAGCTTATATTAAATGGAGTTCCTGGGTAGTAGATTAATGCACTTGAGCTGTTAAGCGAAAGACTACAGGTTCTAGTCCACCCTAGTAAGAAAATACTTGCGGTCTACTAGAAACCCTATGGTGCAGTTTTGTGGACACACACGAGGTCGCTTTTCATTGGAGCCCAGTCCACAACCACAGGTTTTACAGTTTGTTGTTGTTGTGAAGTGCCGTCGAGTTGGTTCCGACACATAGCGACCCTGTATAGGGCTTCCGAGAAGTTGGTGAGCTTGAATCGCCGACCTTGCGGTTCAAACGGCTTTTCGCCACACCAGTGTTTTACTGTTTGGCTTATAGTATTAAAAGAGTTCTCAGGCTGCTGTGATGGAAATGGATTAAAAAGTTGAGTGAAAGTCACAAATATGAAGGCCATTTAGTAATTC